TTCATCAGAGTGGTTTTGGGTCGTGGCCGCGGCGACTCGGTCAAGCTCCGCTCACCTTTTTCGGCTTACCTGTTGGCCTTTTGGCTCCGATATGGATGTGGGGAGATTTAGAATCGAATTTTGAACGAGAAAGGGGAAAAAAATTACCTCTCCGGCGTCGACGGTGGCGATGACAGCTGGTCTTCTTCTCCGGTGACGGATTCGCTTCCGACCGCCCTTTTCTTCTTCTCTGATCTCCTCTTAACGGCTAGGGTTAGGGTTTCCTGTGGAAGAGGGGTTTAAATACTCATTTTCATTAAATCCGGGCCATCCGTTCGAGGAGACGTGACCCATTCTTAGCCATTGGATCAATCCTATCTAGAAAATGAATCTGGACCGCACGATTAGATGAAATCAGGATCGTCCGATCGTGTTTGAAGGAGAAACGAATCTGGACCGTCCGTGCGCGAGGGAGGAGATATGGGCTGTTGGATCTGCTGGCACGCAGATCGCCCGTGTGGCCTTCCACGTGTCTGCCACGCAGCACACGACGATCGGCCGCGCTGCTGACATGACGGTCCATGTGGCCAAAGTTTCATTATTTTCACTTTTACCCAAATTTTTCAGATTTATTTTCAAATAAGTCCTCATTTATTTCTATTTTAGTAATGATTTTCGAAAATATTTTCAAATACATCCAAAACACAATTTTTCTTCAAAAATTCACTAAAAAGTAAAATTAAATTATTTTATTTTATTTTATTAATATTATTAAATTATTCCAGGCCTAATTTTTGGGTTCGGGTGTTACAACTCTCCTCTCCTTAAGAAAAAATTTGGTATATCAAATTTGCCACTCTCTCACTAGTCAAATAGTTGAGGGTATAGTCTGATTCTATCTCCCAAGTGGCCTATCTTCAAATGATTATGCCATACGATTTTGATGAAATTTTTTTCTTGTTGCGAAGTACTCTACTATTCTAGTCCAAAATACCTATCGGTACCTTCTCGTAAGATAAATCCTCTTGAAGTGGAAGTGACTCATAAAACAAGATGTAAGGGGTCCGGGTTGTACTTACGTAGTATAGACACATGAAATACATTATGGACTCTGGATAGCTTTGGAGGTAGTGCTAGTCTATATGTTCAAGATCTCAAATGGTTCGATGAATCAGGGGTTTAACTTTCCCTTCTTTCCAAATCTGCTGATACCCTCAAAGGAAGTGACTTTAAGAAACACTTGATCGCCCTTCACAAGTTCCAACTCTCTCATTCGAGTGCCTGCATAAGTCTTCTGCCTGTTTTAGGCTGTTTGGATGTTCTTAATGATTTTGATTATCTTCGCTATGGTCTCATCTATAATGTTTAGGTTAATCAATTTTCTATCACCCACTTCTTCTTAACAGATCGACGACCTATAGGGTCGGTCATATAATGTCTTATACATAGCCATACCAATACTTGCTTGATAACTGTTATTGTAGGCGGACTCTATTAGGGATAGGTGATCATCCCAATGTCCCCCAAAGTCTAGAACACAAGTTATGAGTATATCCTCTAGTGTACGAACGGTTCATTCTGACTGTTTATCTGTTTGAGGGTAGAATACCGTGTTGAGGAACAGTTTCGTTCTCATTGCTTGCTGAAAACTTGACCAAAACCAATAGGTGAACATAGGATTCCTATCTAATACCACTGTCACTGGAACTCCATATAGCCTGACTATCTCTCGGATATAGATTCTTGCTAGCTTGTTTAAGGGGTCGGTCATTTTGATGACCAAGAAATGAGAGGACTTGGTGAGTCGGTCAACAATTACCTAGATTGCATCATGTTCCGAGCGTGCCTTAGACAACCCTGCTGCAAAATTCATAGTGATATGTTCCCATTTCTATTCCGGGATTGGTAGTGACTGAAGTAGCCCGTCTGGACGTTGATGCTCTGCTTTAACCTGTTGACATACAAGGCATTTGGAGATGAAAATGACAATTTTTCTTTTCATTCCGCTCCACTAGAATCAAAGTCGCATGCTTTGATACATTTTAGTACTTTCGGAATGCATGTTAAACTTTGTACTGTGAGCCTCTATCATGATATCCTTTTTTAGTTCACTGTCATTTGAAACACATAATCTGTCCTGCAACCTAAGTAACCTATTGGTAGAGACTTAAAATTTTGGATTTACACCTTGTTCTATATCTTTTTTGAGAGTTACTAGAGTGAGATCAGTCAGTTGAGCTTTTTTTATTCATTGAATCAATTCGGGTTGGACAGGTAGGTGGGTCAGGCATGTGGCTTTTTTCAAATTTTGAAACTATATCTGTTGCGCAACCTTTATTACCCTGCATTCAGAAATCATTATGTGAGCCAAAATACTTACACTTTTCCTGCTAAACGCGTTGGTTACCACATTACCCTTATTTGGGTGATACAAGATCTTAAATCGTAGTCCTTGAGAAGCTTTATTCAACGCTTTTGACGCATGTTGAGATCTTTTTGGGTGGATATATGCTTTAAGCTCTTATGGTCTGTATAAATTTCAAAAGCCTCCCTATACAGGTAGTGGTGTTAGGTATTTAAGGCGTAGATAATAGCAGTAAGCTTTAAGTCGTGGGTGAGATAATTCTTTTCATGACTTTTCAACTGTCTGGACTTATAGGTTATGACTTTTCCGTGCTGCATTAGGATACAACCCAAATCTAGGTAGGAAGTATCATTATACACTGTATATCCGCTTGTCCCATTCGGTAGAGCTAAAACTAGCGCGGTAGTCAATCGTTTCTTGAGTTCGGTAAAGTTTCTTTTACAGTCGTTAGTCCACTCAAACTTGACGTTATTTTTCGTAAGTCGGGTCAGGGGGGCGGCTAGGTTTTAAAACCATTCTATAAACATGCGGTAATAACCTGACATACCAAAAAAGTTACGAACTTTCTTAACCGAAATCAAATTTTCCCAATTCATTACTGTCTCAATCTTCTTGGGTTTTACTGACACCCAATCCTTTGATATTATGTGCCATAGGAAGGTAGTCTG